AAATACAGCTTAGTAGTATAAAAAATTATATAATTGCATGATAAAATAATTATGATTAAGAACTCTATTTTTTTATAATTACTGCTATAATATTGGTATGATTATCTTTATAGTTTTTATATATTGAAAAGAAATATATACACTGTCGTCGAAAAGTTTCCGGACATGGAACTTAAAATTGCATAATATTCAAGTCATCGTAAATCGATAAAAAAATCATCGCCGACAAAAAAATAAGAAAGTATTTTAAAGCTTAAAACTTATACTTTAGCATGCTTTTAATTGCTTTCAAAAAAATTTTGTTTTTACAGTATATCTTAATAAATATCACGTTGTTGTATTTCTTAAAATTACGTACATTTAACATTGCGCAGTTTGATAAAACGTTTTTTTTTTCAAAAAGTTCAATATTTTTGAAAAATAGTACAAAAATTTCTTTCTAAAATGCTTTTTTTTAAATTTTCTTATGATTTTTCTTGATTGAATTACGCGTCATTGAAGCTAAACCTGCATAACTCACAACCAACATTAAAATTCGATGAAATACCATCGTAAAAGTATTTTGAAGCTCAAAATTTGTATTTTAACAAGCTTCTGACCGTTTTTAAATTGAATTCTGAAAGCAGAATTGAGAAGATAAAATTTTTTGTGATGATTTTTTACCAAATTTCACCATTGGTTATTTAACAATGCAGGTTTAGCTTCAATATTGCTTATATAATTCAGTTAAGAAAAATCATAAGGTATATTTTTATAAAAGCACTTTGGAGGTAAATCTTTGTACTGTTTTTTAAAAATATTGAACTTTTAAAAAAAAAAAACGTTTTATTAAATTGTACATTATTAAATGTACGTAATTTTAAGAAATACAACAACGTGTTATTTATTACAATACAGAACTGTAAAGACAAAATTTTTTTGAAAAGCGGTCAAAAGCATGCTAAAGTATAAGTTTCAAGCTTTAAAATGCTTTTTTATTTTTTTGTCTGCGATGATTTTTTACCGAGTTACGATAACCGGAATATGTAATTTTAAGTTCTATGTCCGGAAACTTTTCGACGGCAGTGTACATATACATATAGTTGGAACCAAAAACGACTGTAAATTATAACCGGAGCCAATTATATATTTTTTTTTAATATAAAAACCTATAAATATAATTATCATTACTAATATTATAGCACAGTAATAACTGTAAAACCATGGAGCATCTAATTATTATTTTATCATGCAATTACAGTTGCAAATACTTTTCTCTCAGTGTGTGCAAACCAAATTTTCTGTATTATCACGACAGTAGGAGCGCATGGAATCGCAGCTACTGCGCAGAAAGACGCGTCTGGCAAAGTAGACGACCGTGCATCGTGCCTCAAGAAGGGGAAAATAAAAAAGGAGGCTATGCACGAGGCGAAGAAGGACTCGCACCATATGTGCGACGCGTCGCGATTCGCGATTTCCCGCTATCATGATCCTCGAAGACTATCCCGAGAGTGCATGGCATTTGCGAATCGCCACCACGCGTCTTTCCCGCTGGATTATGTTGATAGTATCATTCGCGAACATAATCGCCAACCGCGCGACAAAAAGTCGACGTCGACGTCCACGAAGACAACGGGGAGGCATGTTGTAATTAAACAAGGTATCGTATTCCCAAAGATGAGCAGTAGCAAAAAAATGGCGTCCGCGTATTTCGGCCCTAAATGCTCTGACATTAATATAATGTTCAATGATTTGATTATATTTTTTCGACTTTTTATTTTGATATTTTACATATCATAATGTACAACTTAAAAAAAAAAGTATTAAGGACCAATTAACATTTAGGACTGATTAGCACTGATTTAAAATCTAATTGATCGCTATATCATCCGCAATATAACATCTCTAATTCTATCATGTCATCGAGGGGCGAGTGCGAAATCTGAAATCGAGAGGAAAACAAGCGGCGCTTATATATATATATATATATATATA